GGCACAGGTTTAGCCTTCTATTTGGTTATAGTGCTAAAACAGGTTCACAGCTTGGCTATCTTCTTGAATTCATGAATGTCTTTTGCATCAGGATGGTTCTTAAACAAGTTTTTTAGATGTCCTTTCTAGAGGAGCTTGACCTGGCGTGTGTACACGTTGCAAGAGCGATGTCTGAAAGGCAAGCATCTTGCCATATAAATGTATTTAACATTCATTATTGCTATCAGCGGCAGAGTTACTTGAAATGTTTGTTACACAAAAAATAGCTTGATCCATAATCTTAACAACATTGTCTTATTCTCAAGTGGTGTAATTGGTTTTTAATGTGAAGAGTGTAGTTTAAAACAGTTGATGGAAAGAATCTTTAGGTGTGATTTAATCATAATTCCATTTGTTTTGCAGCCTTCAGAAACAGGCTTGAAGACTGGGATACAACAGACTTGAGGGGAGGGAGGGATGTGGCCCCCATGTCCTCCTTAAGAGGCTTTCCAAGTATTCAGAAAAAGCAAAATTGAGATCACTTATTTCTTCCTTTGTGGGACATGCTTAAGATCTTAAACATCTTAAAGAACTGAAAACTTCTTAAACTTTTCATAGGTTAACGCTTATGTACTGCTGAGGTGTTAAGTGTTGCTGCTAGACTGATGTGCAAATTAAAAAAAAATCTCAAATCTCAGCCCAAGATTTCACTGAAATGGCTGTCTTCTGGTGCATAGTTCTTGTGGTTTCCGTACATCTCCCCTTATCTCCATGTAGTGTGCTCCCCTCTGCCTATATTAAGGCACAAGACTAATTATTCGCTTTGTCTTGTATACATCTGATGTGAATTTCACTCTGGTGCTGTAAAGCACCTTTCGGAGATCTGAACTTGGGAGGGTTTAGGAGTTTTCCTGTAAGGTGACAGAAGTCGCAGCATATCCACTGCAGATGGGACCCACACAAGGTGAAATACACCTAGACAGTGGGATGCTTTCTTGTTGGAACACCAGAACTCCTATGAACACTTCAGAATACAGAGGTGCAAAGTAGTATTTTACTACCCTCTTCTTTGGCCCACTCTTTTTTAACTCTTCCCCCTCAGGCATTTGTGCATCTCTCACTACTGCCTGAAAGTACAGCTTTACAAGAACACTGTTCATGAGATAGTGTAGGTCCGGGGAACACTCTGAGGGGGGAGACCTTGGAACAGCCTTGTCACTGAGGAGGTAGCTGTTTCTCTTGTCAGTGTTCTAAAAACATCTGTTCAGCTGGACATGGGCTCTCATTGCGCTGGATTGAAACTGGTGGCCAGTTTCCCAAAGCAACACCAACAGTAACAAAAACTGACACTGATTATATTGATGTATTAGTGATAAAGCATAGTTTCTTTATCCCGAGGCTGGTGGGAGCAGTCATTGTCCTCCTTTCCTCCCTCTGCTATCCCTTTTGTGTATTCCCTGTAGGTATGGGGGAAAGACCAGAAATAGCCACATTTTTGCTTTTCCTTTTAGGGTTTTTAGGAAACAAGTTTTTTTGAGAGTGAGGAGAATAGGGAACCTGGCTGGAGCATGCTGTGCTCTAGCTATCATTAAGGGCCAGCTAGTATCTGGATGACAGCCAAATGACAGTGTGAAGCAACTTCTGAGCTATTCCATCATTTACTCACAGCAGGAGGAAAAGTTCTTATGGATTCTGCTTCCAGTCTTTCTTAGGCTATTTCCTTCACAGTGGACTGAACTATGCAATACATCAAGTTTGCAGACCACTGCTTTGAGTGAACAGCTAGTATGGGAAATGATACCTCTCCATGCGAGCCTAAGTGCCTCCTGCTTTCTTCTGTTGTTAGCTGGGATTTTAAGGCAGTTATTTTTTTATTTAAGGACTTAAGTGCTTGTGAGAGCAGGGCCAGTGCAGAGAGAGATGTGGGTAGATGCTGTGCTATAGCTTTTCTGGGAGCTTGTACTTGATCTGAGAACTACAGTGACCAGTCAACATCCTACCAGATTAAGCATTTATCTGCAATTGTCATAGCTTACCCTGCACATCCTTCCAGCAAGCTCCTGTGGTGAGGAAAGGTCCGTGTTTTGTATTCATGGGGTAAGGGAGGGCAGCTGGAGGGGGGGAATTGGCTGATCTTTATTAAAGATCTGAATTTTGTGTGTGTGTGTTTTTTGTTTTGTTTTTTCCTTTTCTCTTGTAGCAACAACTACGTATGCGGATCAAGTTGACATATAATCACAAGGGCTCAGCAATGCAGGATCTAGCAGAAGTCAACAACTTCCCCCCTCAGTCTTGGCAATGAGGCTCTGGCACCATTCTTATTCTCACCCCACCCAATCAAAAGAACTCTGGGAAGAAGGTTGTGATCCTTGGCAATCCCCCAAACTGCACCATGGGCATGGGGAACAGATGAGACCTGCTGATGAGGAGGAATTTTCCTGAAGTGATTGCTGACTTTGAAGCATATCTGTTAAGACTAATCTCCTCTCCTCCGCTGATGAGGCTGGTGGCTTGTGGAGGCTACTGTGCACTCCCTCACACATGCATTCACAGCCAGAAGCAACATTCCCTTCTCCCCTCCCCCGCACCCCACCCCACCTCTAC